AGCCAGCCTGGTGAGACCAGGTAGAGGGTACTTGAGCAGGGTGCTTCAGCGTCTGGAAGAAGACCAGTTCTCATCCATGTCTGAGTTCCTGACCTCTGAAACGGGACCGTTTGAGGCTTCCTGGGACCCCCAGTACCTTACAGGAGCAAGCAGAAGTGGGGTTCTGAGGGCCAGGTCGTGAGCTTTGGCCCCGAGGAGAGATTAGGTGACCAGTCATGTGGCTTTCATTCATTTGTTCGTGCCACACTTAGGAAGCATGGGCTGTCTCAGTGTGTTCAGTCGTGAACAAGCTGCCCTCGGCAGCTGGCATTGCATTGGCCAGCATGGCTGTCTGGTCTGCCGTGTGCTGGACAGAGAAGTGGTGACGGGTGAGGAGGGCAGGAGACGGTCATGACCAGAGTGGCCTGGGCTCCAGGAGCCTTCCTCTGCCTCCCCTTACCTTACCTACAGCTCCCAGGCTACAGTTGGCATAGGCCTTTTTTATTATTCTATAGTATTAGGCACTGAACGCAGGGCCTTGAGCAGGCTAGGCAGAGTTCTACTGCCTTAGCCCTCTTTCTACATTTTCTTTTGGTACAGGGTCTCGCTGAGTTCCCTCAGCTGGCAGCTGTAGAGATGGCTCAGTGATCATGAATACTGGCTGCTACTCCAAAGCACCAGGGTTTGGTACCCAGCACCCGCGTAGCTGCTCACCCTCAAGTCCAGTTCTGGCCCCACCAGCACTCATGTAGCGCACATACATATATGCAGGCAAAACTCCATCCACGAAAATAAGTTCTTTTTCAAGTTCCTTCAGCTGGCCTTGAACCCGCTGGTTCAGGGTGACTGTGGTCTTGCTGCTGCTGCTATTAAGATGGGTCTGTTTTCTGGAACGAATGTTTGTCTCTGCACCACTCTCATGCCTGGTCTGTCAGAAGAGGGCAGCAGATCTGACTGGAGTTACTGACAGTTGGGAGCCTCCATGTAGGTGCCGGGAATCAAACTCCAGGTCCTCTGATGCTCTTAACACCTGAACCATCTCTCCAGCCATAGCCTAGGAAGTGTTTGTTTGTTTGGAGACAGGGCCTAGATAGCCCTGGCTGGCCTGGAACTTATTGTGTAGACTAGAAATCATAAAGATGCCTGGGATTAAAAGCGTGCACCACCATGACTGGCCTGTAGGCTGTGAACCTTGACTCCTGCCTTAGCCTCTCAAGTACTGTGGATTGCTATGGACCACCAGGCCCAGCCTGGATATCTTTTCTTTTACTTGTCCTTAAAAAAATGAATGTGTGGGCCGGGCGGTGGTGGCGCACGCCTTTAATCCCAGCACTCGGGAGGCAGAGCCAGGCGGGATCTCTGTGAGTTCGAGGCCAGCCTGGGCTACAGGGTGAGTTCCAGGAAAGGCACAAAGCTACACAGAGAAACCCTGTCTCGTAAAATCAAAAAAAAAAAAATAAATAAAAATCAAAAAAAAAAAAAGAATGATTAGGGCATGGTTCAGGATGGACAAGCGGGTGGGGGGGGGAGGCTGGGGTCAGCATGTGACTTGGGCCTGGGACTAGAGTGTCTGGCCCTTCTCTCTGTGATGGGCTCAGAGGTGGCCCACCATCCAGGTGAAGTACCAAGTGGATGCTTGGCTGAGGGACCTCTGGCTCTCTCAGCCCAGAGAGTGCCCAAATAGTCAGCACAGCTGCTCCAAGCCTGCACCTCTCAAATTTTAAAATTACATTTATTCTTTGGGGGTGTATCCCACAGGACATGTGTAGGGGTCAGAGGACAGCTGAAATTTTATAACTGAAGGAATTGGTAGAAGAACCTGCAGTAGTCTGTGCTCATTGACTAATCTCGCTCCCTAAAACACCTTCCCTTATCAGTCTATACTTAAGAGCTCTCACAGGGCCTGTAAGAGGCTGGGCCCTCTCTGAGGAGGCACCCTGCCTCCCCCCAGTTCTCCCTAACTCATAGTCCGTTGGGGTAACGTACCAGCATGGACTCATGGTCATAAGGACAGAGGCAAGGTCTGGAGAGCCACTGTGAATTCTAGGGTGCTGGAGATGGGTGAGTGTGTGGGGAGCTGAGGGAGGAGGCCTGGAGGGGTGCCTGCCTGTAGGCAGGGAGGCTGAGGGCCAGGAAGCCAGAGTCCCATCGGGAACAGATTCGGGAGGTAGCAGGGATCCCAGAAGAGTCCTAGCCTAGCTCAGGACTTGAAGTAGGACTGTTACTGGTTAGGGTTAGAGGTAGAAGCCTCCTGTACATTATATTCCTCCCTCCCTGTCCCCTGGAAACCATGTGCTGTAGAGGAAATTCTAAACGGTCTTATTAAATAAGAAACACAGCCAAATACAGAGTTAAAAGCCCAAGAGATCAGAGCACTAGCGAATAGCCTTTAGCTTACCACTCACTGCCATCCTTCCTCTGAGAGAGACTGTCTCCTGTGTGACCTGTCTTTTTATTGTCTTTCTGTTCTACCTTCTCGTTGGCTCTAAACCCAACCACATGATTTCCTCGTCACTGCCTGTCTATACAGACCTCCAGGTCTCTATGGTTCATACTGGGATTAAAGGTTCGGGTCACTGCTTGGCTGTGTCCTTGAACACACAGAGACTCTGCCTGCCATGTGATTGGGATTAAGGGCGTGTGCCACCACCTCGGACTTCTGCTAAATAGCTTGCTTTTAGCTCTGATCTCCAGGCAACTTTATTAACATACAAATAAAATCACACTTCAGCACAAGTAAAATACCACCATACTGTGCCCCTCTCCCCAGGCGACCCAGTGGAATCCCAGAGAAAGACCTGTGCAGCGCCATGGCACCCTACTTCCTGCAGCAAAGAGACACCCTGTGCCGCCGGGTGCGGAAGCAGGAGGCCAAGAACCAGGAACTGGCCGATGCCGTCCTGGCCGGGCGCAGGCAGGTGGAGGAACTGCAGCAGCAGGTCCAGGCCCTCCAGCAGACATGGCAGGCAAGTGCTGGCTTTTGCCGGTTTTCTTCGTCTGAGGGCCCTGGCTGGTGGCTTCCTCTTTCCCAGCCGAAGGGATCCCATGGGGAGCGGGCTGTGCCCACAGCACCTTTGGTGGGACATGCGAGGTTGGCTCCTCAGTGCTTGTGCTGAAGTCACAGCACATGTTCCTGTGCAGCTGCTAAGTGAGTGCAAGCAGAGAGGGCGAGAGCCTGGACCTCCGTCCGGGTGGACTCCACCGCTGAGGCCAGTGGTGCCGCCTCTGCTGCATGCAGGCAAGCAGTGTCCTTAAACAGAAGGACCCCAGAAGGACGGGTTGGAGTCCCAGCACTCACGTGGGGGCTCACAACTGTCATAACTCCAGTTCCAAGGGATCTGTCACCCTCTTCTGGACAGTATGCACATTTAAAAAATAAGTAAATAAAAAGGCTCCAGAGCCTCCGGTGCTTGGAAACATGTGCCAGTAAGTGTGTGTCCTTTGAACAGTCAACTTCTGAAATCGGTCCCAAGGGACTTTGAGGTAGTGGAGCTGGGTGGTGCAAGTGTTAGGTGTGACGGGAGTAGTGAGAGCGCTTCTTTTTGTTGTTTTCGAGACAGGGTTTCTCAGTGTAACAGCCCTAGTTGTCCTAGAACTAGCTCTGTAGACCAGGCTGGCCTCGAACTGACAGATCCACCTGCCTCTGCTCCCCAAGCGCTGGGATTAAAGGCGTGCAATCGCTTCTTAGTGGCTTCAGATGGGGTTCTAAATGTCTCTGGAAGGCCCCGTGTCAGTGTTACTTCTGAGTCCTCTTCATCCGCTATAGAGCTGCCCAGTCTGTGCCTAATAGTGGACAGTGGACAGCCACTTGCTGAGGCTCATGGTGCCCAGGTTCCTTCTGGTTTGCTCTTCTGTAGCCTGCCCTAGTCTCGGACAGGTAGCCACAAGTGGAAGACCTGTCCCCGTCCCCTCCAGTCTCCCAGTGCTTGTTGGTCCTTAGGTACTTGGAGCCACCTTGCTGGATCCTCAATCCCTCCATCCCTAGGAGGCTCCTTAGCACTCTTGTCTCCCTGGATACCAAACTGTCCAAACCGTGGCCCCCGAACCTGTCAGCTCTGCTCCATAGCCTCACTCCAGCCCAGCTTCCATCCTGGCCTTGTCTGAAATGCAGCCCCTGGACCGGATGTTCAGTGTTGACCCTATGTGCGAGCTTCCAAACCTCTTTCTCTGTCTCGATGCTCAGTGATTGAGCATTACCCAGCATGCCCTGGGGTCCACTTTCAGCCTGGGAGGGGGAAAGAATTTCTCCAGTGAAGGCAAAGGAGCTGGAGCCACTTGGGAGTCCTTGTTGGACATGGATTCTGCTCTGGAGAGGCCCAGCAGAGGTGGCCAGGGCATCCAAATGGCCAGGACTACTACTGGGTGGCAGGGACTTCCTGCTTGTCTTTGTCGTGTGACATGAGCCACAGACCTAGCCGTGTTGTTCTAGGGACCTGGGCTGGGAAGGGGCCCGGCACATGGGGTGTGCTTTTCTCACACCCCACACATCTCTTCCCTTCTTTGGTTTCAGGCTCTTCACAGAGAGCAGAAGGAGCTGCTGTCAGTGCTCAGGGCACCTGAGTGAGGAGCCGCTGGGCCCCAGAGCAGAGGGCAGTCATGGTCTTGTGGAAGGCCAGCTGTGGAGCCGGCTCCCCATCCCCACTGCTTAGTTCTGGCAGGGTCACCCACACTACCTTCAGACTCCTGCCGCCATCCCACCCTGGGCATCAGACACCAGCTTTGTCTCCCGGAGTTGCAGCCAACATTGCCCCCCACCCTCCTTCCGGTTGGTTCCCCAGCCCCCCTGCACTGGACGGGATAGTGTTTTCAGTATGCACTGATTGCCGCCTTGCTGGCCAGCCCAAGGGCCCCTGCCATGTTCTCCCCACATCTGTAAATAAACTTCCTGTCCTGCACTGTAATCTGTGAGGATGCTTCCTCGCCAGGCGTCTGGGGTCAGGACCACTTCTGGGCTCTGGAGCTCTGTCTGCAGTCAGGACATGGGTCTGAGGACTCTGGAAGCCTGCAGACTAGGGAGTGGGTTGTTTGGATCACCCCGTGCAGGATGGCAGCAGGACCCAGGACCACTGGGTTCCCCGAGGTCAGGATGAGCTGTCTGTGCAACCAGGGCTGCCCTGTGCTGCTCTTTGGGGGCACAGAGGATGTAAGGAGGCCTCTAGCACCGCTGAACACTTAACCTGGTTTCTCCCACCTCACTGTTCCTCAGCCAGGCCCACCAAGAAGAGACATTCTTCTCTCCTGCCCGAGAGCCTCAGCCTAACCCAAGGGCTGCTTGTGCAGATGTCTGAGGAACCCTGAGGGCAGGAGACCCCCCAGTGGTCTCTGCACTGCCCTTCTCCCCATAACAGCCTGGGCACCACTTCTGCCAGCCACTCTCCAGAAAGCTCCAGAGTTTATGCCTCTGGGTGCTCTGCTTCCTGCTTACCTGGCCAGAGTCATCCTGCGCTGTCACCTGTCACCATTCTGAATTCAAGCTGGTGGCTAGGTGACCAAAGACAGGTCAGGGACAGGTGTAGGGTGTAGCAGGTCTTTAACCCCAGCACTCTGGAGGCAGAGGCAGGCAGATCTCTGAGTTTGAGGTCATCCTGATCTACATCTCGAGACTATCTCAAAAAAACAAAAAGGTCCGACAGGTCACTTTCTCATTCTCCACCCCACCCCCGCCCAAGCTTGGGCTAGGATGCTGTCCCTGTGAAGACGGTCTTTATCACATGGCTCACGGGAGAGCAGGCCCTATCTGAGGTTGACACTACCCTGGCAGGATGGAGACCACAGGGTGAGGACCCAGACTTGCATTCCACCCTGTACGCCTTGCAGGTCTGCCCTGCACTGCCAGAATGGAAGAGGCTGGCCTTACCTTTGTCATTGTCAGCCTAGGTCTGAGCTTTGGGCCCTTGGCCCCATGCTACCCATGCTAGTTAAGGTTACTAGTTACTGCGATGAAACAGCATGGCCAAAGCAACTTGAGGAGGAAGGGGTTTCTTTGGCTCACACTTCCACAGCACTGTTCATCGAAGGACGTCAGGACAGGAGTCTGGAGGCAGAGCTGATGCAGAAGCCACGGAGGGCTGAAGCTTACTGCTTTGCTCTCCATGGCTTGCTCAGCCCACTTTCTTATAGAACCCAGGACCACCAGCCCAGGGATGGTACTACTCACCATGGGCTGGGCCTCCCCCATCCATCACTAATTAAGAAAATGCCCTACAGCCAGATCTTACACTGTCCCGCCCTTTCCCCACTGAGCTGAGCAGAGCTGCCCTGTGCTGGGCAAATGAGGACATTACTGGCCACTCCTTCCCCAGGGTTTGGCTCCTGCCCTCGTGGCAGACACTGAAAATCACAGGCTATGAGATCTGGAGCCCAGTTCATCCCAAATCTATTTTAGACCTCTGTGCCATCTCTAGGGTACTCATAGGGCCCAGCCAGTGCTCCCTCTGAGGCCGAGGAAAACAGAGACTAGGGAGGTGGGGCACCCTGGGGGGAAGAGGTCTAGGGCAGTCTCTGAGTCTGGCAACCTCTGATTGTGGCCCACACTCCACTCCCAGGGCCTTGCCCAGGCAGCTGCAATCCTCAACCACAGCATCCTTTGGGTTTGACCTACTGAGCCAGGGCACATGACCCCCAATTAGTCCTGGCGGCCATCCCCTGCCCCGCCTGCTCACACTGGGGTACAGACAGTGGATATAAATGGTAGTGGAGGCTGAAGGGCTCAGAGCAGAGACGTCCCATTCAGCATCCCGCTGCAGAACTGGCAGACACCATGAGGACCCTCTCTCTGCTCGCTCTCCTGGCCCTGGCTGCATTCTGCCTCTCTGGCCCAGCAGGTGTGTGTCCTTGTTCATTTCTGTGGGAACCCGCACCCCTGAAGATCCCGGGATCTGCTCTGGGAAGGCAGAGGGAGGCACAAAGCACTGAGGAGGCAGGGGTGGGGAAACAGAGCTAACTGTACGCTGTTTCTTTACAGATGCAAAGCCCAGTGGCTCCGAGTCTGACAAAGGTACTGGTGGGCCGCCTGGAGCCTCAGCCCGGCTCCCACCCTGTCCCCTAGGCCCCCAGCTCCCCTCCCAAACCCAGAATCACCTGACCCTGTCCCTCTGCTCCACAGCCTTCGTGTCCAAGCAAGAGGGCAGTAAGGTAGTGAGTAGACTCCGCCGCTACCTGGGCCATGGGCTTGGGTAAGTGGGAAGGAGGTACCTGGCCAGAGCTGTTGGCCTTCCATATTGGCAGGGAGGAGTTGTGCTGGGGTAGTCTCTGTGAACTGCGGAGGGCCGGCTGGCCGGCTGGCCGGCCAGTGCAGACTGATCCTCCAATGCCCAGGGCCCTGGAGCCTCTTGTACAGTGGGAAGGAGGTGTGTGTCCCCCATGTTGGTTGACGCTGCCCTATGGTGTTTCTCAGAGCCTCAGCCCCATACCCAGATCCTCTGGAGCCCAAGAGGGAGGTGTGTGAGCTCAACCCCAATTGTGATGAGCTAGCGGACCACATCGGCTTCCAGGACGCCTACAACCGCTTCTACGGTACCACTGCTTAGGGCACGTGTGGCCCTGGGGCCAAACGGCAGCCTCAGCTTGGCTACTCTCCGGGACTCGACTCTCCCTGTTCCCTCTCCCTGCCCTGGGTGGTACACAGCTGCTCCAAAATAAAGTCCAGAGGAGGAAGTAGGCTCGCGTCTGTCCATTGTGGTGGGGGGGTAGAGGTGGGGGGAGGCTTCACACTCAATCCAGAAAGCTACAGTCCAGTTCATTTATTATACTGCTTTGTTATGGGTAACACTGGAGGTGTCGTCCTAAAGTCCAGCCCCCCACCCCCAGCAACTCCACCATATCCATATATCACCGGGGACACATCCAAATACATGAACCAGCAAAGGCCTGGCCACAGTGGTGAGCAGACAGGCAGCTCGTGTGTGGACACACAGTTGAAGACAAGGGCCACTGTCTGGCCCTGGGGCAGGGCAGGTATGTGGTCCGCATGGCTCACAAGCACTCAGGATGATCTGAGGTGAGCAGATTTCAGGGCAGAGACCACATGAGGGGCCCCACACCTCCAGCTGTGCTCGGGCCTGGGTACCTGTCTCCACTTACTGGCCTTCACTGCTTGCCTCTAGGGTCCTGTCCTTCCACCAGCCCCCAGACTTCCTCTTCTCTTCAGCCACTCCGAACAGCCTCTGCCTTCTCAGGCCCCTGTCAGGGCTCCTCCACAGCAGTGAGGCCTGGCCTCTGCCTCCCTCCATGCCAGTCCCTGAGATGGACCTCACTCTTGTTTAGCCTGGAATCCCGCTCCTAGCGGGTTACCCTGCAGCAGGGGACAGGTTCCAGGGATCCGAAGCAGAGAGGCTGTGAAGGCAGCGATGATGAGCAGGTTCCCAATCACTGCCAGGCTCAATGTGGCCATGGTAGCCTCCAGGCCAAGGGTGGGTTCTTGCATGGCCAGCCAGGCTCTGCGGGATCCCATATCAACCAGCACTGCCTCCAGCTGGAAATGGGTGCCCAGCACTGCGCAGATATGGAACAGCTGGTGGCTATGGCCTGGAGGTGGGGGTGGACTGGTTAGGCACAGACCCGCCCCAGTTTTGAACAGATTCACCTGTAACCTGGGGTAGTCACCTGTCTGTTGGGCCTGGGAAGAAAAGCAGACCCCTAAAGGTTCTGGAAGAGCGACTGGACTGAGTTGCATAAAGCCCTAAATTGTGTGATTACTGAGGGCTGAGGGGCTGGGGTAGCCCTCTTGGCTTTATCACCCACCCTCAGGCGAGGATACCCCATGTTCTTGGCTCACTCTGCACTTGGGGAAGCAGTCTCCCTGCTCTGCCAGGCCAGCCCGAGCCAGACTTGTGCTCACCAATATAGTCGAAGCGCCCAGGTGCCAGGCGCTCTGGCAGACGGGCTGCGAAAAGGAAGCCCGTGAGCAGAGCACAGAGGAGGTGGTAGGCGTGGCTGGAGCTCAGTGCCTCCTGCCCACAGCTGTGGGCCCTGCCCCAACACAGCTGCAGCTGGTGAGAGAAGAGAGAGCCGCTGGGGAGCGTCCCTGGGAGAAGAAACAAGGGGTCCAGCTAAGGTCTGATGGGGGCAGGGATGCTGAGGTGGTGGGCACCAGGGTCCTGCGCCTGGAGAGTGGGCAGAGAGCTGAGGATAGAGGCTGAGGAACACCACGAGGTCAAGACGGCAGGCAGGCAGGGCAGGGGCCGGGGAGAGCCCTGGTGCCCTTACCCTGTAGAACAGCGGGAGGTTGTCAAACAGGAAGGGGTAGACAAAGGCGGCTGTGCGCAGAGCCTTGCTGAACCTGGGCCGGTCTAGCTCTGGGAACCTGACGGGCAAGAGAAGTGGGTTGGTCTCCATCCCTGGGGGGAGTACAGGTCAAGAAGGTGTCTTGGGTCAAAGGGGGTGAAGGACCTCAGTGGCTAAGAGAACATCAGGAAGCAGGTGTGTCGAGATGCCTGTAACCCCAGCACTGGGAGGTAGAGGCAGGAGGGTCAGCCATATAGTTCAAGACCCTCCTGTCTCAGGGCGGTGGTGGTACAGCCTTAAGTCCCAGCACTTGGGAGGCAGAGACCGGGGGGAGGGGGGGGAAATCTCTGAGTTTGAGAGTTCCAGGACAGCCAGGGCTACACGGAAGAACCCTGTCTAGAAGAAAAAAAAAAAAAAAAAAAAAAAAGGAGCAAGGAAAAAGCATAAATGAAAGAAGGGGGAAGGGGGGAAGGAACGGGCTGGTGAGATAACGCAGTAGGTATGGTAAACACAATAAATAAAAAATAATAAAAAAGAGAAGGCCCTCAGGGCACAGGGTCTCCGCCCCTCCCAACCCCCGTGTAAATGCCACATCTGGTATGTGGCCATAAAGACAACTGCCTTTCCAGGACCGCGCACTGGCCAACGGTAAGGCCTCCTACTGGATAGGGTACTGGGGTGGCTCAAGAGCTGTGGAGTAGCCCTGAGCCTGAGCCCTGCCTGCCTACCCTTTCCGACACCGGGGGGTGAGGGGGGGGGTTCAGAACCCACCGCGAGTAGCAGGAGAGACCGGTGCACAGGAAGGAGTTGAACGCAGCGGCGGGTACGAAGAACTGGTGCAGGCGGCCGTGCAACCAGGAGGCCGGCATGGAGTAGGCGGCGTAGGGGAAGGCGCAGCCTGCGGCGAGGTGCGAGCTGAGGCCTGCGGGCTCACCCTCTGCGCCCCACTATCACCCACGGCCTTCAGCTCACCCAGGCTGTAGAGGCTGAGCGCCCCGTAGTCCAGGAAGTAGCAGATGTGGCGCGCGCGGGGCGACATGGAGCTGAAGGTGTGCGCGCAGCAGGACGCGAAGGGGTAGAGGCAGGCGGGCAGTAGGAAGACCAACAACGGCAGGTGGTACGGCTCGGCGCGGAAGCCCGGGCTGCCCAACGCCAGGAGGCGCCAAAGAAAGTACCTGTGCCGGGCACCTGCTCAGGCGCTGGGGCCGGAGTGCCTGGCCAGTCCCTGCCCGCACGGCACCCCATCTGAACCTAAGGCAGAGCCTTCGCTCACCAGGTGGGCAGGAAGTGAGTCCAGATGTTGACCGTCTCATTGGTCATCTGGAAGGAGCTGAGGACACAGTCTAAGGCCGAGCTTGTGGGGTGTCGGTAGCCAGACAAGATGCTGTCTTCCCAAAACACCTGCGGGTGGTGGGGGAGCGAGCAGAAGAGTCAAGCTATGCAGGCCTTTCCCTGCATGAAAAGTGTCTGGTAGCCTGGCGCATGCCTTTAATCCCAACACTCGGGAGGCAAAGTGATCTTTGTGAGTTCGAGGCCAGCCTGGTCTACAGAGTGAGTTCCAGGACAACCAGGGCTACACAGAGAAACCTTGTCTCGGAAAAATAGAAAAACAAAAATGTCTGGAAACAGGATAGAAGATGCGCTAGAGATCACAGTGGTCCCAAGGCAAACTCAATTCCAACTCCTTTCTTACCACGGCCTTCCAAACCCACAGAGCTGTACTGGGATCAGATAGGATGGGGGATACACACACAGGGTGTTCTGCAGAAGCGGACTGTGGATGGAGGGTATTTGGGGAGGGGTTGCAGGTTCTATACTGCAACAGAAAGATAAGAAAGTTAGCTTGCAGGAGGGACTTCCCTAATAGCTAACAAGAGAAAAAGCTCTGCCCCAATGAGTCTTTTGGGGAGAGACAAGGTTGATGGGTTGGGGCCCCTCACCCGGGGGACCTGGTGGACTCGAAGAAGTTGAGGCAGCTTGAGACTGAGCATGGTGGCCAGGTAACTCCACGTCGACCTGGAGACAGAACAGGGGCGGGTCAGGGATTGGCACCCATCCACAGGTTCCTCCGACCAGATTCAGGGTAAAGTCAGCCACTGAGCCCAAGCTGGGCTCCCACACGGGTGGCAGCTGGTGCTGGCCACAACTGTCTCCCCTTTCCCTCCTGGCCCTAGCTTGGGGCATCCAGTCCTGCAGGAGAGGTCCTCAGCGTCTGCTGGCGTGCTGTAAGGGCACCCAGCGGCGAGGCGGCCTGTTAGAACCCCCGTTTGGTCCTCAACCAGAACCCTGACTTTAGGACCCCCCCCACCCACCCTCCGGCAGAGGACGGAGACCTCCACGGACAAAATTAGTGCCCTCGGGGAAGCTGCTTAATTAAGCAGGGCAAGGAATTGGGGGTGCCCTTCTCTTCTCGAAGGACACCACTTGTGCCCTTGAGGCCACTTGGGACCCCTGCCCCTCCTGGGTCCCGTGCCCCTCAGCCCAGACCTGTGCGCGGCGTTCGGGTGGCCTCGGCTCCGCCTGCCCCGCCCGCCTCTCGCCTCGCCCAGCACATTCCTTGGCACCGGCGGGGGCGGGGCTAATGGGTGGGCGGGACCACCGACCGGGACCCATAGGACCCTTCCTCCGGCCCTTGGCTAAAACTTCCCAGCAGCTCCACCCTCTCTTCCTGCCGCCAGCCCCGCCCGTCCTGGAGTGAAGTCTAGGGGGACTTCACAGTGTTAGTCTCCTCTGAGCTCCATGCTGAGGACCTTGCCCAGCTTGACAAGACAAACCTGGTCCCCAGGCCCCTCATCCCAAATGAAGAGGCGGTGTAGGAGAGGGTCCTGTCCTGACTGCAGCCCCGCTCCCCTGGGAAGGGCTGAGACGATACTGGGAGGGGGTCTATCAGCCCTCAGCAAAGGATCTGGAGATCGCTGCTGCAGAGAGGAATGTGAGGTTGGGCCGATGCTTCATCTCCATTTTCTCAGATGTGAGCTGCGTTATCCCAGGCTGACTGGACTCCACAGGCAGTCTCTGGTTCCTGCCAGTCAGCCTGACGGGGAGAAGAGTGGCTGGGGATGTGGGCCAGGCCCGGCAGAACTGGAGAGACAGAGGGAAGCTGGGGAACAGTCGTAGCCTTGTCTGCCCGTCTTGGAGAAGCACGGGGTGGCCCAGCCCCATTAGCAGGCAGCTCACTTGGCCTCCTACACACCGCCAGCCCTTCAGCGTGTGTCTGGGCCCACGTCACTGTGCTGTCTTGACCAGGCTAGGGGCCCAAGCTGGGATCTAAGCTCTGACCAGGACACCTGGTCCAAGATCCCCAGGATCTGAGGTTGCTAGGCAGGAGGCTCCAAAACCAATTTCAGCTGCATCTCAGAAGGCATCCCTGCTTTGCCCTTGGTGAATGTTGGCCCATCTGGGAAAGACAGACCAATCGATCTCATTTACCCCGACACAACAATGTGGGAGCCCGTTTTGAGGTTCCTCATGACTTTACCCAGCAGGTCTGCATAGAGAGGATGATTGGACCATGGGCCTGAGTGCAGGTGTCTGAGATGGTCTGCACTTGGCTGTGCTGGGGGGAGGTCTTTTGCTCCACCCCTTGACGTCTCTATAAATACCTTAGGGTGGAGACAGTCAGGGTCCGTTGGAATAGGTTCCAGGTCCTCTAGAGGCTATCCTTTATTTTCTATCTGATTATCTCCACAATCTAAATCCTTCTAATATTTCCTGCAGCTTGCACTCAAGAAAACTCTGGGGAAACTGTGGGGTTGGTGGGTAAACGCCCCACACAACGAGTTGCCAATCCAGTGGCACTAGGTATAAAGAACCTTAGCTTCAAGTCTCATTTCTTATTCCCCCTGGAGGGCACCAAACTAGGCCCAGGCAGCAGATTTCTTAACACTGTTCTGTAAACCAGGAATGGTGATGCTTCCTGGGCTCTCTATCCCAGAACGGAAGGAACCACCAAAGTCCAAGGCCAGGTTGATTGTACAGCAATTTAGAAGCCTACCCGAGTTCCCTGGACTCTAAACCACAAGTGTTGGTGATACAGTTCAGTGGTAGTGATGTTATAAAGGACTAATAGATTAGGAGACGTTAAGTCACATGAATGGAATTTAGCTAAAGGAGCACTACCTCCAAAGTACCCCAAAGGTTAGTATCTAACCAGGCCTGGTGAGATAAGTGGGTGCTAGGATGTAAATGTTTACACACCAAGAGGGACAAGCCATTAGGCTGTCTCATGACAAAGAGACAGTGGTTTATGGGCCACCTAAGGCAAACCTCTTACAAGGAAGCTTAGGGCAACGGAGGTCACAAGTGTCACTAAGTCCAGGTCTGCCATTAAGTCTTCTTTGCTGTATCAGAAAAAAAAAATTCTGCCAGGTGGGCAAGACCTTGGGTAAAAACTATTCAAAAAAGAGAACATTGGACGGTTGGTGGTGGCACACGTCTTTTTTAAATTTCTCCCAGAGCTGAAGACCGAACCCAGGGCCTTGTGCTTGCAAGCTCTACCACTGAGCTAAATTCCCAACCCTGGCACATGCCTTTAATCCCAGCACTCGGGAGGCAGAGGCATGCAGATCTCTGCAAGTTGGAGGCCAGCCTGGTCTACAAAGTTTCAGGACAGCCAAGACTTACACAGAGAAACCCTGTCTCGAAAATAAAAAACAAAAAACAAAACACTGGCCAGGCATAGTGGCACACATCTTTAATCCCAGCACTTGGGAGGCAGAAGCAGGAGAATCTCTGAGTTCGAGGCCTGCCTGGCCTACAGAGTTCCCGAACAGCCAGGGCTACACAGAGAAACCAAACCCTGTCTCAAAAAACCAAACCAAACCACTTGTATGCTTAAAAAGTTCTGGCAATATGTCCTGTCTTTGTTGTGTAAATCTACCTGCTTAAATGCTTAGACTTGCAGTCTCCTGTTCCTGTTTAAATTAAGTGCAACCTGGGGCTGGGACCTGAAAGAAACTTGAGGATGACGGTGTTTGTGGCATGTAAAGTATAAATATGTCAGTAAAATTTTCTATTCAAGGTCCATTTTGTGTGAGTCTGAGTGTTTTGCCTAGATGAATCCACACCATGTGTGTGCCTGGTGCCTGTGGAAGCCCGAAGTGGATGACATCAGATCCCCTGGAATTGGGGTTATGGATGGCTGTGAGCCACCATGGAGTGCTAGGACTTGAACTTGGGTCCTCTGCAAGAAACAAGTGCTCTTAGCCACTAAGTCATCTCTCCAGCCCCATCAAGGCAGACTCTTATTTGGGCCTTAGTCTCAGTTGGCCAGGCACTTAAGAGCTCTCCTTTTCAAAGTGTGCAGTGATTCCCCACTGAAAAGGCGTATCACTCTTTAACAGTAGAGTACTTCCAAACACATCAGGTTCCCCGCCCCCCATTCCCAACCCCCAGGAGGCTCCTGTACAGAAGGCACAGCAGACAGAGTGGGCTTGGGGGAGGGGTCTTTATTAAGTGATGCTTGAGTCTCAACTCTGCCAGAATTGGAAATGGGATAACCCCAACTGTCCCCTGGTTTTCCCAGCCCCTCTGTCTTAGTGGAAGGCAGGAAGCCAGCTCCTCTAAGCACAGCCAAAGCAGCTAGGCCAGTTGGGGTAAGGAGGGGGAGCAGAAAAGATCCCAGCCCCGGCTGTGCTCGGCTTCCAGGCTGAGGGGTGGAACTGGGGTAGCCATGGCCAGAGCCTCCCCTACAGCTCTGTGCTCTCAGGGCACCAGTCTGCCCCTGAGCTCTTCATGATCTCTGCTCCTGTGTCACTTGACACTCCAAAAGCCAGCCCATGCTTAGCCCGCCAGGGCTCTAGTCCTGGGGATGGGCAAAGGAGGGTAGTTCAGGGCAGAGGCCCCGAGTAAGCAGCTTCCAGGGATCTTGCCTCTCTGCCACCCTTCCTCCAGCCCTCCCTGGTTGGTGAGAGGGGTGGCCTTGGCCCTCACTCCTTCCTTGGCACCCTTTACCCCAGCACAGCAGCCAAGAGCACCAAGCACAGTGACTGGAACTGGTGAAGAAGGGATGACCACTGGCATATAGCCAGCCAGCCCACACCCTAAGTGGGCCTGGAAGCTGGGCAGCAGCAGAAAGGAAGTGGGGCCTTGGAGTGTGCAGCCCCTACTCTGTGGTGTAGGCCATTTCAGGCCCTGCTTCCCTAAGAGCCACCACAGCCGGCTCCAGAGCTGCCCTGCCCGCCGTGGGAGAGGAGGGAGAGGGTCCGTGAGGATGGGCAGGGCCTGCAGAGAACTGTGCGGACACTCAGTATCTCCAACTCTTCCCTGAGAGCCAGGGGCCCAAACTCGCAGCCCCACCCACCCTGTGTCTTGGGTGAAGACAGGGCCCTTCTCAAAGTCCAGGAGCTGCTCCAGTGGAATGCAGGCCCATGCCAGCCCCGCCCTGAGGACACAGGGCTAATGTGGAAGGGGCCAGGGGTCCGCAAGCCACTCCTATTCCAAGCCCTCCTCACGTCCCCGATATCGCCTCAGCAACAGCCCATCCTCCTGCTGGCTCCTGGGCCCTCCCTACAGTCTCCGTGCAGCTGGCCTGCCTGCCTGTTGGCCTGCTTGAGTCTGCGTGTTGGGGGGTGACTACAGGTGGTGGTCCTGGTTGCCAGAGAGAACAGGAGAAATCTGGAGTCAGCCCCACTGCAGGGCCTGTGGGCCAGTCTCAACCAATCTCCTTCCACTGCCTGTAGAAGTCCAGAACATTCTTGACATCCACACTGGCATGGGCAGCAGCCTGCAGGGCAGCCTGTGGAATGGTGGAGGCGGGAAGATGAGGGAGGGCCTGACCTGACATGGTGGGAAAGGGGCAGCTTCTCTGGAGCGGGTGTGTGTCTGAAGATGACTCCTAATATCTCTTCCTGACTCCATTCCCCACCTCACCAGCGACCTACCTGCATGGGCCCAGAGAGCACACTGGGGTTGTCCAAATGAAGGCCTGTGATGATGGTCACCATGCCACTCGGGTCCTCCTCCCCTGCCCCTTGGGCCAGAGTTAGCTGTCTGCAGCTGTCCAGAATCTTATAGAGAGTCCTGAGAATGTGGGGTAAAGGGAACAAGACCAGGCATGACCATAATCTACACATGAAAATCTCCACGCGACAGGGCAAGCTAGAGCCTGGGAGAGCGTCAAGAGACAAGAGCCAACAGGCAGCTGGTGGCAGTGGGTCCAGAACCTGGCCCTGGAGTACGTGCTAGGAGATGTAGACAAGATGTTGAGCACAGGCGTCTCTGGGCTAAAGTGACTGAGATTATGGGAGGGCCCTGGTAGGTTAAGCTGGCCCACCCTGCTCCAGGGGTAGGGGTAGTTCACAGAGGGGCTGGCAGAGTCAGCTCCTGACAGTTTCTGCGGGAAGAGGGCTGACACCTTACCAGGCATCTGCGTCCTGCCTCTTCAGTTTATGCCGCTCAAAGCTCTTTCCCACCTCCTTCTGGCAGCGAATGTATCTGCAAAGGAGACCGCAGAGGTGGAGAAAGGGACAGGGAGGGCACTTCACACAAAGCAGGCCATTGTGGCTGGGCAGGGTGTGTCAACTCAGGGAGACAGGGTAGCTATGTCCCTCCCATCAGGCTGTTTGGAGCCATTTTGAAGTAGCTTCTTGGATGCCAGGCTGGCTTTCTGTACTGATAACATCGAGTTTCTGGTTTTTCCCAGGGGAGGAGCTGGGAAGGCAGTAGAAGCAGATGCTTTCAAGTCAGAGCTTCTAGGGGTGACCTCCAAACAAACCAGCTTTGTGTAGCTTCCTGGCCAGGCAGGCCAGAGGCAGGGTAGAGGAGGAGCGCTCTCCTCTCCTGCTCCCTCAACCACAAAGGCTAGAAGGGTGGGGTCTGGGCTGAGTTCCAGCTTCTCCCTCGGTGGCTTAAACAGCCTCCATAGTGGACAAATAGGGAGCCTGCTCCTTCAGTCTCCAACTGAAGCATAACAGCTCCTTCAAAGGAGCCACGGCCTGGAGCTGGGACCCGACTGCTACTCTCTTCCAGCAGGTGCTATTTGAACTCTGCCTCAGAGACACAGGGCAGCAGCTCTGACTCTTCAGGGCTTTCAGCTCTTCTAGCCTCCTTGTCCTAGCAGCTGAGACCTCCCAAAGCGGCACAGGAAGCACTGACGAGGTCCCTTACTTGCAGGGAGCCAAGAGCGCCTAAGTACAGCTAGATAACGGCCCCAGCCTGCACAAAGGCCCTAGCTAGACCTAGGCTCTCACCTGTTTCCTTTTTTAAACTCTGCTTCCAGGTACCGGATACCATCCCGGGCCCCTGGCTGTTCCTTCTTCAGCAAATCCAGGCCGTCAATCACTAGTAGGCAGAGTGGGAATAGGTAAGGACAAGACAGTAAGCTCAGACTGCAGACCACGCTGCAGGAGATGTCTACAGGGAATGGGAGAGGTGTGTAGGATTGTGATGCCCACAAGATTCTGGAAATTTCTTTGAAAATGTGACCAGCCAGCAACGTGCTTGACAACTCACCAAGCACTTCCACTTAGGTTTCTCATTGACTTGCCCACATCTTTTGCAGTGATGTTTAGCACAGATGCCTATGCTGAGGCTGCAGTTCACAAATGGCAGGACTTGACCAAGACCACATATACACTGGACATCAAATAAGGCTTTCTCAATCCCCAGGCACACTCCAGCTGCACCAAACCTCCCTGATAAACTCACCTGTCCTGGGAATGATGATGATAAAGCGGCCACTCGTGGCCAGCTGGCGGATGAGAGGGAGGTGGTGGCACAGGGCCTGGGTGTCAGGGATGAGGTAGGGAGACATGGCTGACTGGGCCTTGGGCTGCTGCAGGCTCCCTTCCAGCTGGGAGACCTCGAGCTGGGAAGAAAAGGCTGAGTGGCTGGAGCTGCATAGAGCCCAGCGGGCTGGGTCGAGGAGACAGTAAGACGACACTAGGCCAGTGTTAAGGCGGCTTTTACAGGGCTCCTGCTACTGCTACTGGGACAGAGGAGTCTTTCTACCAGTGACCTGGAGGGTAAAGTGGGCGAAGATAAAGCTCGGGATAAAGAGACAAAGAAAGCAGAAGGAAGGCTGAGCATCAGGGAGAATATTCCGGAGGCCAACAAAGAGCTCTTGGAGGAGTGGGCCAGAGCCACGGCAGGGAACACCTGAGAAGGGACAGATGGACCAGTAACGGGAGGATGTGCACACTGCCCACCTGTAGTCGTAGCTGGGCCATGTCTCTCATGAGCCTGTTCCGCCGAGCCTCCTCCTCTGCCTGCAAGGAAACACAGCTGTGAGAAGAAGGGCTGTGCCCTCCTCTGGAGTCCAGAGGACTAGATAGACAGTCTGTGGGAAGTCCCGACATTCCTGTTCCAGGAGGGGAGGGAGGCACGGAAAAGGAGTCTTTTCTGATGCTCTACAACCCCCGAGACTGACCCATGGTAGGGTCATGGCTGGTAGAGTCCTATGGAGAGGAGACAGCTGAGGATTTCTAGCATGTACGACACTGCCTGCTGAGCCTTCGGCTCTGACCTCGGCTCCTCTGCTCCTTCTAGCCAGGCCCCCCTCAGGGGATACCAACCACACACCCCTTGCCTGCTCCCCACCTGCCCATGCTGTCCAGGACACACATGCACTGTCTGTGTCCAGCAGCCCCGTCCACTCTTCTCTGGCCCAGCCTTCCGCTGCTGCTTGGTAAGTGAATCACTGACTGTCAAAATGAGAACGCTTCAAGTGGCTTATGTCTGTCCTCTCTCAGCACGTACATCCAGTGAACCTCTGACTACACACCAACACCCTTCCCTTACCTCAAGAGCACAGGCGCTCTAATCCACGCTGCCCTGGTCTCCTGGATTCGCCCCTGCTCTCTCACAAGAGTGCCAACAGTTTTCCAAAACTGCCCAGCGCCCACCGTCACCTTATCTGGAATTCTTTCCGTTTTCAAACTGAAGTTCCAAGCCCTTCACACATTCCAAATGTGGACAAGGGTGAGGCCTCTTTCCGTGAGGTGACTGACCACCACTGAAGGCTCTTAGGTGAGCCAAGTGTGTCCTCAGACGCCACTCTAATGACACCACACCAGACAACTCTATAAAGTGACTGGTTAGTTCTCTTCAAACGAGTCAGGGAGGTAAAAAATGTGCAAAGCTGAGAATCCGTTAGAGACTTAACCAAATGTCACGGAGGGGGTCACACAGAATTGGTGGAAATGGATAGTCCACAGTTAATAGTACACACCGACCCCAGTTGCTCAGCTTTGATAATCATCCCAGGGTTATGCCTGACTCACTCCTACCCTGCAGACTCCTGCACAGTTAAGAACTACCCTGCGGGCTGGAGAGATGGCTCAGCGGTTAAGAGCACTG